ATGTACAACTATGTACAGGAAAATGGGCTCTGTGCTATATATACATAGTGATAGACGGCATGATCTGCAGCTGAGAACATGGTCGTAATAAATCTAGGATACAAGTAATTACTAATGAAGACTTAATACAATAACTAAGTTTGTAACAGTGTTACAAGTGTCACAGAAATACAAACGACGAATTCACATTCTTAAAGCTAACTAAACACTGTTAGACAGTTATGTTCATCACTGAAGTGTTTAAACTAAACTTAAACTTAATATCACTATCACCAGTACTAAAAGGAACTAAATAGGTGCAGAATATACACAGATCTAGATTTTAGATTGGGCTTTGGGATGCAAAGTAATTAAGAAATTAATTACATACACAAATCTAACCTGTACAATGAGACTACCCTTAAATTAATTTGTAGTTAGATTACTTATGAATAAGTCCAAATTATTCACTTTCATTTTTCCAAAAACGAATGTGTGAACTGAATAGGCACTATAAACTGAATTTAGAAATAATTGATCACAACATGATCTCACCAAGCGAAAACTAAAAATATACAAAGTACACAACTGTGTCCTGTTCTATAAAGACTAGAATAAAACATATTTTTAATTAAATTTTTACGCTGGTAATGGACAGTACAAAAACCTACTTTTCCATACATTTCTACCAATCAATAAAGTTGACAAAAAACAGATGTTATTTTTATATCATTAAATTAAGAGATTAATCTAAAGCCATGCACTTCTTAATTTCCACAATTATAATGTTAATGTACAGTTTTATTTTTATTGTTTTTCTATATTTTATCTATGTTTACTTTTGAATGCTTCACTATTCCTTTGCTGGAACCTCTTAAGAGCTTCCAGTTTATCTCTTGTTAACAAATGCCACAATTTGATTTGTTTTAATGCAGAAATTATCCACAACTAAATAATAATACTCTAGCAATGATCAGAGGCGGCCTTACCCATTGCGAGGCTCCGGGCGGAAGGTCTTTGCGAGGTCTTTTGTCCTTTGTTAAAAGTATGTGATGCGAAAGTAGGTCTGGTTGTTTGGTTTAGGTATTTGTCATGTTTAAGGAAAAATGCTTAAATTATACAAATAAATTTGAGTTTTAAAATATTTTACATTGAAAGATTTACAAAATTAACAAATACAGAGATGCTAAATTTTAAAATTGATGTTAGCGGCTTTTCCTAAGACTAAAATCTTTAATTAAAGCACAATAATCTAACGAATAAGCTACGTCATTTTAGATTGAAAGAATAGCGAGGTCTGAAAGCCGATCTTGTGTCATCGAATTCCTCAAATATGTTTTAATAATTTTAAGCCTCGAAAAACTCCTTTCAGGAGACGCAACTGTAACAGGTGTGGTAGCAATAATTCTCAGGACTATTTCGATAGTGGGGTAAACTTCAGTTAATTTTTTTTCTATTATGTATTTTAGCACCGAGATAATGTCATAGTTTCCTTCATACACACGGATGAACATATTCAGTTCTTCGTACAATTCATCTCCATCAATGTCACATAATTCTTCTACTGTCATAGATATTTGCAAGTCGCTGCATTGCTTTAAAAGTTCACTATCATTAATTTCCTTTAATTTTTTTATATTATACATGAAGCCAAATATGCTCTCATGATGTTTAAGAGCCTCAAACCTAGGATAACAGCTTGCGCGCACATTGTCGATAATGACATAAAAATAGTTTATTTTGAAAATTTCTTCCGCTTTCAATTCATGAGCTTCATCTTCCCCTTCATAATCAAAATGCCTTTTTTTACGTCGTCTTCTAACTTCTTTGAACTGTCTGTCAATATCGTTTTTCTCGGCTATTTCTCTTGATGTTACAAGGGATGACTGAAAACCATTTTCTCGATAATTATCGAGCCAATTTGTGAATGCGTCTAGGTGATGTATAGCCACATCTAAGTGCATGTTTTCGCTTTGCCATATTTTACTCATAACATTTATCTTTGTAAGAATGTCATACCATATGACAAGTGAAACTACAAATTCGTAGGTAGTTAGTTATTTTTCTGTAGAATGGCATTCACTGACCAACTGACAATCTGTTGTGTTTTCTGCTAAATCCTTTAAAGCATCACATATATCACTTAGTTGGTATTTAACGGCCTTCACCGATGCTACCCTGCACTCCCATTTAGTTTCAGAAAGTGGTTTTAGCAACAATGATTTTTCATGAGCATTTAAAATAGCCCACCTCTGACTTGAGCCGGCAAACAGAGTGTACAACCTTTGTAGCAAACCAAAAAAGATTTTGCTTGGACACAAGACGATGCTGCATCTCCTAGGATGAGATTCCAGCTATGACTCCCACAAGGTAAAAAATAAGCAAGTGGATTAATTTCAAGAATACGTTTTTGGACACCACTTTTTTCACCACGCATATTGGCACCATTATCATATCCTTGGCCTCTGCAATTTTGCAATGATATACCTAACTGTTCTAATTCTGTGATTATATAATTAGTCAAATTCTCAGCTGTGGTTTTTTTCGACGGCTAAGAAACCAATAAAATGTTCTTCAATTTCAGCTGTATTTGTATTAAAAAATCTTATAATAATTGAAAGTTGCTCAACACGAGAAACGTCGCGAGTACAATCAAGAATAATCGAGTAGTATTTATTATTTACTATTTTTTCAACAATTTGAGTCTTCACGTGACTTGCCATTATTTGTATGAGCTCATTTTGAATACTTTTTCCGATATAGTGGTCATTAATCGTCTTATCCTTTACTTTTTTTAGGTGAAGTCTCAGCACGGGATCAAATCGGGCTATTAACTTTACTAAATCTATAAAGTTGCCACTTGTCTCACTCGAATCTGAGTCAGTTGTTAACTTCTCTCTATGACCCCTGAAGGCCAAATTGTGAGATGCTAAAAAATTTATAATTGCGAGCAATCGTTCTAAAATATCTCTCCAACGTTGCCTTTCTTGTTCAAATTGTGACTGGGCCAAGAAGTCAATAGTGGAACAGCTTTTTAAACCATTCTCTAAATTAATCCATTTCAACATACAATCTTTGTGCTGTCGACTAGATTCGTGAGACTTTAGGTAATCACCCAAGTGTTTCCAACCACACTCTCCTTCACTTGATCCAATCTTTGTATTTTCTAACCCGAATATTCGACACGGAAAGCAGTAAACGGCATCCTTTGTTTGTGAATAAATCATCCAGCGCCTGTGAAGCTTTTCACCGTTAACTAATATCTTATTATAATGATATTCGCTGAATCGCCGTCCATTATCATTTACAGGAAATAAATCAACTTTAACCCGGATTGGACCTTTTAATACAATCTCAGTTCGGTCTACATCAGTAATTGTTATGGGCCACAAACCGGGGTCATTTTGAGGATTCAGATTTTCCGTTCCAGCAGTCATGGATGTAGACATAGACTCGGGCTCAGATTCGTGTTCTTGACTGGATAGCGTTAATGGTGGCATCGGTGACCTACGAGACAATGATGTACTCGTAGTTAATTCATTATCATCCTCGCTGTTTTTACTTAATGACGGCGGCGGGCGGCGGCACCCATGATCATGTGGAAGGAATGTTTTCAGCTGGATCAGGATAAGAGTCACTTTTAGTCAATAAATGTTTTGTAGAGGTTTCTTTATCATCACTTTTTATATATTTATATAAAGATCCACGCAGATTTTCTTCTACCTGCTTTCTTTTGATAGCTCGTTTCCTTTTTGAACTCCCTGACTCAAATTTTCTACCGGCCTCACGATCACGCGAACTCATTTCGTAAATCTTGTTTTGTTCCGCACAAACAGTCAGAAATAATTTTTTAAGTACCACACAGTTTTTTCACACAGTTTTTTTTCACTTTTTCAGTTTTCTCAATACTTCAAATACTATAATTTACACTTTTCCAGCTCACTCAATACTTTCAATACTATAAGAACGTAATATTCAATAAAATTGAAAGATATGTACGGTAACGATTTTGTAACTCATACTTCAAGTAAAATAATTTCAAGGTGACAAAAGTTAACAAATGAAATGAAACACGGGGATTACCCGAGCGATAGAAGAGCAGAACATTATGTCCCGACTCACGAGTGTTATGCGATTAAAAAACCGATCTTCAATCGATTCGAAGTTAACAAGTGAAAATGTACGTAGATCGTAGTTAATTTTGGGTTGTGATAAGTAAAACTGTACTAAGATTAAGAAAAATATAGAGTAAAGTACATCTTATGGTTACAATAACCCAAAGTTTACTTCTGTTTACACACATTTGTACTTATAAACTTCGAATCGCGGACTTGTCATTTTTTGTACTTACGGTTATCGAAAAAAATCTCTCAGTGTACATAATGAACTTTTCAATTATGTTTTGAATGAATGAATTAGTTAACTAACTTAATTTTAATTTACGGTTATGTTATAACCTTAATAAGTAATTATGGATCAAAATCAAAAGTTTTAAATAAAAAATAATAGTTAAAAAAAAAAAATATTAAAATTTTGCTTGGGTTGTTGCGCGAGGCCCCTGTAGGAGCGAGGTCCTGGGCGATTGCCCTGTTCGCCACCCCATAAGGCCGCCACTGGCAATGATCTATAATACATTCTATTGACCAAGCTTGCACTTTTGATATCACAACAAGCTAAGAATCTTATCTTATTAGTAAATTTATGTATACAATACTTTGATAACATAATGGAATTCTTGAAAATCCCTCAGATGTTTTTGATGGAACTTTTAACTTTACTAATGAACGATAAATATATGTCTTATGACATTTGTACATGAATTCCGAGAAGTAAATACACTGAATGAATAATTAATAGATAGAAATTACAATTATTGAATACTCTGAGTGCAAATTAAAACTTTTGTTGATGCATCAAAAGTGCATACTGAAGTATATTATAATGAACAGGCCAGCACTTAGAGAAAGACCAATAGTTACAACTCTTGACTATTTTCTCTAAGCTGTGCCTGTAAGCCTGTACTACTTTTTAGCTTTAGCCGAATTCCCTTGCTTGTTGGGAGGTGTCCACCTCAAAGCTGCTGGATCTACTGACAATCGAGGTTTCTTAAAATGAGAACTGGCTAATTGTTCTGCTACTATTTTAGGTGTAACACAAATGACATGTTGCCCTTTCCAATACTTCACCATATTCATAGACTGTAGAGTTGAAATTATATCTGTCTGAGATATACCTGTCATTGAACTCAGATCCTTGATGCTTAATGTCCCTCTACTAACACTCAACACTTCTAATAATACATATGACCAGTATGATCTATAGCTGAGTTTTCCGAGGTCTGATAATGGTTTCTCAGGACTGCCAACAACATGTTCAAGCCTTGACAGTTCATAACTAAAGGCTATCAGTAGCTTACCATAGCCCTGTCTCTGAAATGGAGGTAGTGTGAGTATACATGCAACATTATTCCCTTCTGGAGAATCTTTCTCTTTAGAGAAGTAGCCAACTAGATGTGCACCATGTTTGTCCACTTCGCATAATATGTAAAACAGGAATTGTTCTATATCAAAATATAATGTTTTGTGATCTAAGAACAATTTAGCAAGTAAACATAGATTTTGACAATAAATTTTGTGTTCTTTGCCATCTGCCTCAAATATTGCTATGGTACCTTTCCTGTAAATTTCGCTACCTTGAGGTTGTCGCGCCGTGCACTCGCTTAAATGATATCTGTAAGTTTTTTCCATTCTCATATACTTCAAACAGTACTCGCATATCCAAAGCTTCGATTGTTTACCATATTCATCTGGGTAGGGGCTGAAGTACCATGTGTCTATTTCATATTTGCCAAATTGAATGCGATCGATGTATTTAACTTTTGTAATTGCTTCGTGTTCCTTTTCCAGTGCCGCAGTTGTAGGATCCATCTCCGCATAAGACTTTTGTACGTGATTAATTTCGTCATGTTTACGTTTTTGGTTTCTTGTTATTTTTCGGCCAGATTTGTCGGTAAGCAAGTGATCGCAGTTTATGTTGTTATTAGACTGTTCGCACAAGTCAAATCGATCTGACATAACCCTGTGGCGGGATACCCACTCGTCGAGTCTTCTATCATAGCCGACATAATGTACGTAATACTCGTAGCAGCCCTCAGCGGCATTGTACCGCGTTTGTATTATCTCAGCCGGGTGCCATGACTCATCCGACCGCCGAACCAAATAATGCTCTCCTATATCAAGTGGTTGTTCCGGGACGGATTCCGAGTCTTCATGGTCTGTACTCCGACACTCCGGGTTTGGAAGTTCATTATTCACTATGGGTTTTTCTAATTCTTTATCACCTTTTGCCATATTACAATGAAAGTCAACAAACGTATCACGCAATACCGCGCAACGCGATCTATCGAAGTCGCCATAATAACATAGATTATAGAAAAATCAAGCGCGCAAAAACGTGCTATTTTAGAGGTGACCGTAGAATCAATTTCAGAAATGTTTGAAATAAATTTTGTTTTTTTCTGATATTTCTTATAAATTATTAACTTAATTAAAATAACCATATTTATTTCTTTAAATACAGTCAGTTGAAATATGTTACTAATAAATCTAAACTTAAATGAATTTATTAATCGATTCAAGCATCTACTAAACAGGTTTTGTTTATGGTACAACGGTGTGGGTAGCGTAAAAAAACAAGTTTTTAATATGGGATTATTTTTAGGGTGTTTTTTCACATTATTTAAGTTTGAATGATAACCATATACCAACTATTTGCCGTAAATATGATTTTTGGGCTTTCTTATAAGTAATTCTTTTAATAGAATTTATTTTACTCAAAACAGGTATTTCAAAAAATCCCTAATTTGCTTGAGGAAAATAGGAATTGAGTGTACTGTGTGTGGCAACAACGTTAATAATGCTGAACCAATTTTACCGATTGTACGTAATCGGCAAAACGTTTTCAAAGTGAACGAGACGAGGAATTTGTGAACAAAACTATTCTTATCGCTAGCGGAGAGATATGAAATTAATATTTTTATCTAACAACTGTGCTGTTCACTCGTACAAGTGTTGATTGTGATGCTTAAGTGTATTGATTGCATCTAGACGTGGTTACCATACCAGTGCAGTGTAGCAAAGTCAAGTTTTTGAAGCCACCCTTGGTAATTGTGCTTTATTAGTGACAACGGACAAGTAGAACTTAACAATGCAGGCGATTAAATGTGTAGTTGTTGGTGATGGGTAAGTTTTAAATTTTGAATATTTCAAATTGTAATGTAGTAATTATTGGTAAACCGTCTGACGTCATAGTTTAAATTGAGTCGTCTCCATTGAGTTAAAACAACACTAGAGAAGCAAACCTCATTATCACACGTCGAAAAAAGTGTAACCACTTTTGAACTTTGACGACGTAGCTTTGATACCACTAAACATTTGAAAGTAAACATATTTATGTCTCATTTACACGCGAGACAAGAACAATACCATCGCTCGGATTAGACAAAGACAAAGATATAACTTTACGATGGTGGGCCAGTGTTGACTACCGTATGAAATTTTACCCATAACAACTAAGAAACAATTTTTTTTTTAAACAATTTTGTAATAAAATAAATTAATTTAAATATTCTAAATAATATATTTCGAATTGAATAGAATAGGTATAAATAATAAAATAACTGGAAATATTTTGTTAAAAGGGTTTATATTCAGTGTAAAATCAAACTGCGCTGTGAAGCATCAATTTGTATACAATTGTCTTTTAGACTCTTTTTTATAAGTTTGTGTGGATATTTTACTTTCATGATACAATCTTATTTTTACGTATGTAAAAATAATAGCATTTAATAATAAAAGTGAATGATCAACTTGTACTGATAATAAATAATCCCCAGGGTGTATTGCAAATTATATTATAATTTAAAAAACAAATAAAAAAAAAAAAAAAATATTTTATAAAAAAAATTATTTATGTTTATTTACTTTTTTATTTTATATTTTTATTTTTATGATAAACATTTATTATTATTATTATTATTTTGTACAATTATTATTTAAAATTGATGATAAATTAAGAAAAACAATGAATTAATTTTTTTGTACAAAAGTCTCCAGCACTGCGAGCTTGGCAGAAGTGCCAAGCTCGCAGTGCGTTCAAGGGGTCCCTAAAACGTTCAACGGGTCCCTAAAAAAAGGGATCGGTCCAGCCCTAACCACTACCGTTCTTCCTATATTTTATTATTATTGGCAAAATGTTTTAAAACAGTATAAAGCATATTATTTCATAAATTATAAATTCTCCCACTAATGTGGGAAAACCAAAATGATTTTTTAATGGTAACACTGATTCTAAATTACAATTATCAGTGTTTTATTTCAATTATAGCCTTATTTACGATATTATCAATACAAAAACCATAAACTTACACGTGAAAAGTAATTCCGCATGATTTATTAATGTTTTGTGACCTTGAATCGCATTCTTTCACTACGCATTTAGCTATTTTGGCGATTGTTACTGTCATGTGTCGCTATGTTCAACTCGGTTGACGCCACATTGAATAATGAATTGACGTTTGCTACGCATATGCCTGTGGACATATGTGTAGTAGCAACGATTTTAGGCGGTAATTACTCATCTATGTAAGTATTATATCAATGGTCGTCTCCATGCGAAGTTCGTTTGTACCGAATTAAGTACCTGCAGTTTATCACAGATTAAAATTATGCAATAATACTATACGTTCTTTTATTCAGTGTCTAATAATGTGTTATGTGAAATGATTTTGAAGATAAACAACTAACTGTAAAAATTTACACGCCGTGTAACTGTGTTTTTCAACTTCACCTAAATAAAACATATGCTGAAATGACTAAGGTTCTATTCGTTATCAGATATAAAATATAGGGTGGTTAATACTTTTGAATCATTATTTCCCTGGTGATAAACCTTTATAGTTATATTATTGTTGTTTGGTTGAAACATTGGTTTATTTTTTATAGTATTTTATTTTTAACGACTTTCCTAGTCTTAAATTGTTAAATTTTGAAATGTTAAAACTTCCAGCAAAGAACAGACTATGGATTAATTTAAATCAGTAAATAGGATATATTTTAGTTAAACCTTTATGAAGAATATGCTTATAGTGAACCGCATTGATTCAATAGACAGTGATTTAGTTTATTTTTAAGTGTGGGGCTAACAAATGCATGTTTAAAAACTTTAATTTATGACTGCCGTTTAACGACACTCTTTATCAAATATATTGTCCAAGTTTTCCAATAATTAGACTCAACACTACTTAGGTACGTCTGAAATTCATATATGAGTCATTGTTATTTAATATTTTACAAACATTTTTTATGATAGTAGAAATATCTGGAATATCTTAGTACATTTTACTAGCCTGATAGAGTCAACCAAAAAGCAACCACTGTTTTCCTTACAATAGAATTACATAAAAAAATACAGTTGAATTGAGAACCTTCTCTTTTCTGTTTTTGAAGTCTTAAAGAGCTGAGTTCTGTAAATCTGATATAGTTATCACATATTAATATCATTTGCACTATCATTTCATCATGAAACCTGTTATAGGAAAAAAGATAAACACTGATAACACATGATAAATTAACAGAATTATGTTTTCCCTATTATCGTGCCTATAACCTAAGTATTAAAACACCTGTCTCTATATACCTAAATAAGGCATGGAATCAGGTTCCTCATTTTTAGCTATAAGTCATCAAATCAAAAGATAAAGAAAGTAGGATAAAATAGGTATATCATGTCTAAATCAACAAGTAATATACTTGTATAGGTTTCTGGATATTTCATAATGTAGACTACACATTTTCTTTTGATAAAATCCTTCCTCCTTTATATCCTTCCATCCTTTATATTTTCTTTCTATTTTATAGCCAATATAGCAGTTTGTCTATGGCTTGGCTCCTATTGTGGTACTCCTTCGTGGTACTATTTAGCTTGACCAAAGGTACACTACATATCCTTTTTAGTGCTTCAGACAAAGTGTATAATGTCATGTTAATCAATTAAGTAAGTAGTTATGGTGTAAAAACAGAGCAATTTCTCATGCTCCATTTATTGTCGCTAGAAACTAAAGTGAAGCATGGACACATTTGGACGTAAACAACTGATTACAATAATTGTAAGTCTCTTATCAACTTATGGCAAAGCCATATTTGCCCTAATTACTAAACAGGTTTATTCCTATTTTTTGATAAGCAGGGTGGCTATAATATATTAATATTTTCACACATCTCACACACAGTGCTCTGATCCCAAACAAGACGGAGCCTGTACTATGGTAACCAGACTGCTGATAAACATACTTATATGTATATTTCTAAATACATTCGATACATATTATAGATAAAGTACACCCAGACAGAAGTAATGATCGTGCTCATCACACAATTATTTGTCTTGGGTGGGAATCGAACCCACCGCCTCTGGTGTAGCAGTCAGGGTCATTAACCTCTAGACCAACAGGCCAGTCGAGCTATACATCGTTAAACATTACATCCTATGGGATATATGGCATTAATGAGAATATTATGCATAAACCATCTCAAGACAATTTTTTTTTATTTAGAGACCAGTACTTTTCATAATATAACCTCCTCCTTTTTTTGAAGTCGGTTAAAAATTACAATATTTCATTTTAAAAACAGCAATAAGATTTTCACAGATATGTATAATTTTTATTAAATCTGTTTTTGCTAATTGTTTGACAAAACAGAGATTGTTGCTATTGTGTGTTGATCTATGACTAGAGTCTACATAAAAGTTGATTTCAAACAATTTTATGTTTGAGTTTAGAGTTTGAGTTTGATAGCAAGGAGGATATAGGAGTGTAAGCCAGATAGTTGTGTTGTTAAAAAGTTCAAGCCCTTAAGTTTGAAGTCTATCCCTGCTTGTGCAATTTAGTAGGGTTATCAGACCACAAACAGGGAATCTTAAATTAGCCATTGTGTGTGTGTATGTATTGTGCTTCATATTAGGTAAGCAATTCATTCCTTTAGCTGAGCTATAGAAAAGAAATTTAATAATAAATAGTAAGTCATCACATCCAGTCAGTACGTGCCCAAGTGCATTATTCAAATAGCCTAGGTCTTGATTCTCATGTTGTATTATGCATAGATGAATGTAAAATGACACTGTGCGCTTTGATGTATTGTGTTGCAGTAGAAACCTATATCACCAGTGGGTTTTATTTTCTGTGCGGAAATATCGAATTCGAATTAGAGAGCACTCGATAGCGTTTCGTATTCTTCAAAACTCGGGTACCAGTTTCCGGGGAACCAGGTGTACCCTAGGAAGAAAGTTCCTGATACCCCGACGTACCTTGGGCCATCTACGGCGTGTAAATAACCCCCTCCTGAGTGGGAACCCCTATGTCCCCTTAGTGATCCCGCAAGGGCGCGCGCGACACCACCCCGGCCTGTTTCTGCTAGGGTGACAGATGGCCTCACCTACCACCCCCAGGCCTGCGCTTATGGAGGACGGAGGTCGTTCTGCGACCTCCGGCGCCTGAGTCTGTGGTACCTGGCCCGTTGCCGGGCCTGGCGGGCCGGGAGAGTTCTAAACCTCTTCCCGTCCAGCTCCGCCATCTCACGCGCGATGAAACATCGCTGTGCCGACGGACCCTAATCTTGTGTTGCACCAAACGACAATAAAGTATAACTTAATGTACGTGACACTCCTGAACGGGCGTACTGGTTAGCACGGTACTACTGTAGACATCGGGGGCAGGAATAGGACGCCGCTCTCCTAAATACCGCGCGTCAGCGTTGCTCCTCTAAGTAGCTAAGCTACTCACTATTAGTATTTATGACACATATGCTTGACCACCATAAACAACATATGATCCAGAAAATCGCAAGATATAAGTATATTACAGTTAAAATTAGGTGGTGTTGTCATTGCTTATTATTCCTAAGAAGTACTCCCTATTAGGCCCTGCCCACCAATGTTGCTTTTCAATCAAAGCATCACTTGGTTAAAAAAGGCCAAAAGCTCCTTGCTAAGGAGGGGCCTATGTTCAGCAGTTAACTAATAAATGATATAAACCACAATTACAATCCAAATTGTGAACACGAAAATATTAACATTTAGATGGTACTGTGTCTGTTAAACATGATGACAAACGTATATGTACATGTAGATATCAAAATGAAAAATATCCTCCTATTTATATCCTTCTAAATTAATCAGAAATTGTTTATTTGTGGTAGTCATGATCCATAAATGATCAAGTGTTAATCTTTAACTACAGTTTAATTTTTGCCAACATTGTTACTCACACACATGTAGTGTTTCAATATGTAGGGATTGTAGGTACTATTAGGAACTATTGTAGATAGACATAGTATTCTTATCAAAGCTACCAATTAGTTTCTGTTATGTCACCTTAAGAAGCATTTGCTTTATCAGACAGTGATTAGGCACATATTAGATGGTGCTGCGACCTTTACAGATATTTATCTATTTAGCATGTGGTACTGAATGGATACTGTATTTTATGCATTTTCTGTAAGGGCTGAGATTTACTTTAGTCTGTTAAAGTTGTAAAACTTGCATGGGAACTTATACAGGCACTTGTCTGTAAAAATTCATGTGCGTTCATGTGTGTTCTTTTCTGCATGTAATATCTGCTTCTCACTAAATTTTGCCACATACTTGTTTGGCAATATAACTATATATTTATACAAAAAAATAAAATTGGAGTGTTTGTAATATTAAAATAACCACTTTTTACTAAATGCATATGTATGTTTACACGGTACATATGCCAAAATATCATTTTTTACAATTTTTGTCTGTCTGTCTGTTTGTTCCGGGTAATCTCTGGAACGGCTGGACCGATTTCGACGGGACTTTCACTGGCAGATAGCTGATGACAAAAGGAGTAACTTAGGCTACTTTTTTTAGATTAGCTTCGCCCCGCGGCGTTGCCCGCGGTTATAACGACAAACGCGGGTAACAGCGCAGGTCTCAGCTAGTATATATATATATCTATATATTTATTAATAACCTGAACATAATTTACTTGTTACAAACTGGCATTCCTGGTGATCTACATTATCAACAGTATAACAGACCTATATCACTATCTTTGTATGACTTAGTTCATGGTTTCCAATTGGAATCCAATGAGTTGTTAACAAGGCAATTTGACTGGAATTATTTATAGAGGTGTTAGTATAGTTAGTTAAGAATTGATTTTACGACAGGGCCGGACTGAGCAGTTCTAAGAGTTTTCACGGAGTGACATGAATATCTTGGGTTATTTGGCAGGTAGAAACTAAGTATATGTAAGAGCACCACATACTCCTAGCTCTTAGCCCCGAGGAGCAGGAGATCCGAAGGGATTTTCCAACCCGTCAAAAAAAAAAAACTGTAAGATGTAAGAGACGTTGAGAGATTTTGCGAAATTAGTTGATCAGGGTAGTTTTCTTACTTTTATATGAAAGTCTTCAAGTAAATTCAGAGTCATCTAGTTACTATTCGTATTGTCATCTATTCTCTTAAACCTTACCTTTTCGAAATTCGTTTTTTTTTGTTATTGTCTGTGTGTGTGTGTGTTAATTCATAACTATTTATTGTATGGGTAAATAATTTTGTAGTGAAAATATTAGTGAAATTATTCCCAGGAATTTTGTACCTTTTTTTTTTGTACCTACTCCAATATTGTATAAACAGCAATGAATCTTTGAAAATGTTTATGTTATTCTGTCTTCTACTTCCTCTTTTCATTTCCGAGAGATATCAGTCGCTTATGTAGCATATTTAATTCAGTGGAATTCTTAACTGTATATTTTGCTCTTCTCATAAATGTTGTAATCAATTTCTTAAATATTTTTATCAGCTGCATACCTGTCTAAATATTTTATATACAAGCAGCTAATTTAAAAATACAGCGAATGCATAGGTATTTAAAAAACAAATCGTTAATGTATCCTCTTTAAATTGTTTTGCTACTTGATGTACTTTTCCCTGGGCATCTCATCAACTAAAGGAGCAAACTATGGAGGACTACAGCACTGCAAAGAGAAGGAACACTTGAAACAAACCCTATACGAACCCAGACGACAGCGTGGTATAGTAGGCCAAAACCTCCTTTCTAAAAGAGGTTATGATGATTTCTTTACTTTTTCTAAAATATATTGTTAGCTCTGGTAAAGATTATGTAAAATTTTAGTCCCAGGGCTTACTTTTACAGGTTTGTGGACTGACGTAACGGTAACAAAGTAATCAATCATGCTTATCTTTGTAATAGAAAATTTTACCACTTTGTGCCTTGATTCTTATGAAAGTATCCCGATTGGTGTTATTGTCATGAGATGAGTGATTTATTAATAAACTCTTATATTAAATTAACTTATATAATAACTGTGTTTTAAAAATGATATAAAAGACACGGTCCTACCTGACATCGCTTAAATAACCAAAAACTAAATTTTGCAGAGAAAGTTTTGATAGAAGTAGTAAAAAATACTTCTGGTCGAATTGGAGCATCCAGACTGGGGTTTTAACTATATCCTGAAGAAGGCGGCGACCCCCGTACTGTTGATAAATAATGTCGTAAAAGATGTGTGATGAAGGTGTCATAATCACACATCTTTGGCAACTGTTTTGTTTGTTTTAGAAACGTAGTTTTTTTTTTATAAAAAATAGAACGCGAGAGCTTCTGTGTTTTGCCTACCAGTGGTTGAGAGCACCTAATATAGATTGGGCATAATGGGAGATTTTTATAAGAGTTTAAAGTCCTGTGTAGAATCCTGACAAAGCTAACAACAAAATTAATTATTTAACAATATATATATATATATATATATATATATTTTAATTGTCATCTGCAACAGACAAGAAGTTACAAGGTATCTGCATGTTACAAACATTTCTCTCATTGACTGCCTTTACTGAGTGACTCCCAAATTTTACCACTAGTTCTCTTAGTTAGCGAGTCTTCCTGAGATTGTGTAAAGAAAAAAATGTGAGTGGGATTCACATTTTTTTCTTTACAAGACAATATAAAATATACTGTAATTTTAATTTTAAAATTTAGAATGTTCGTGACTTAACCTCCTGAGACCCTGAGTCCTCAAACGATGACGTAAACTTTATAAAAATCCTAAACAAATCCATAAACACAAATTTAAAATTAGTTCATTCTGAGACAAAGGTAAGGATGTTGCCTTATGAAAAACAAATACTTGAAGCGGTTTTCGCACGCCTATCTGTCATGGCGACAGTGACGACGTAGACAAGAGGAGCCATCATGTCGCACTGTGAGTTTCAATAATTTTATCTATTGACATCATTACATTATTTACTTTATTTTTATGCATTGTTGTGTAAAACAGGTAGAGGTAATATGTATTCGCATATATATATCGTTATTTCAACGATAACGTCAATACCACCTTTTTGCCATAACCTTTTTTTTATATGTCATCACACGATCACGTTAGTTCTCAATTCCATTTTCAATCACATTAGTTATGTCCTTGTGTGATGACACCAGTTCTGTTTGTTTTTCTTTTCTAGTATTGGGGGAAGAAGATATTTTACGTTGGTTGAATGAATCTGACGGTGAGGCTTTATCGGACGAAGAACATGAGAATTTATATATACCGACACATTTTGGTGGGGAATCCAGTCCGGATGACGGAGAAAATGCAAGCGATATTGCTCCAATACAGGCTGAAAATTCATCTTCGTGTGAAGAAGACGTTATGAGCTCAGTAACTCCTCGGATTCCACCAATAGCAACAGTCTCTGGGCAAGGAAGAGTTAAATCAAGAGGTAGAGGAAGAACACTAGGAAGAGGAAGAGGAAGAACACTAGGAAGAGGAAGAGGCAGGGGACCAAAAAACAGCTCACTGTCAGTAGCCACGTCTATGAGTCACAGTCGTGGGCCTAGTCACGCACGGATTGTGCGTCAGCGTGGACGTGGACGTGGTCGTGGCCGTGGACGTGGTCGTGGCCGCAGTCGTGGTGTTCAGCAGCGCCAACGAAGAGGTATTCAATCCATTCAACAGAAATGGGGCCACTCATCGTTCAGGCCCGAAATTAGGGGGTTACAGCAACCAGCCTATCTGATTTGTAATAGATCGGAATGGAAACCTATCGACTTCCTAGAGGAATATATAGATGATAATTTACTGGATAAAATGGTTATAGCGACTAACAGGACAGTTTTATCTAGAACCGGATATTCTTTAGGACTTACATTGAAGGAGCTCAAAACTTTTTTTGGTCTGAATTTTATAATGTCATGCTTACGTTTTCCAAAAATACGTATGTATTGGAGCCAAAAATGGCGTATTCCCATCATTGCTGACTCAATGACCAGGGATCGATTTTTTAAAATTCGATCGTCTCTAAAAGTTCTATACGATGATGATTTGAGCCCTGAAGATAAGAAACAGGACAAAATCTGGAAGGTTCGTCCTCTAATTAATCGTATACTGGAAGGATGTCACAAACAAGAACGCACTGTCGATATGAGTATTGATGAAATGATGATACCATTCTCTGGTCAGTGTGGTATTAGAGTTTACGTTCCAAACAAACCAAATCCATTGGGGTTGAAAGTTCTTGTACTGGCCAATCCCAATGGAGTTGTGTGTGATATGATAGTTTACCAGGGTGATACTACTTTTCCAACTGAACTCACAGAGCGCTATAGTCTTGGTGAATGTTCGATAATTTTCCTGACTCGATCTTTGGTACCTGGGCATATAATACATTGTGACAGATATTTCACCACAATCAATGTAGCGGACTCAATGTTAGAAAATGGATTTTATATTGTTGGTACCATAATGGCTAATAGGATACCCAAACATATTTCTTTGATTTCGGATAAAGAATTAATGGCTAAAGGTCGCGGAACAACTTTTACCACAGTTCGAGAAGATGGAAACTTAGCGATTACTAAATGGCAAGACAATAAACCAGTATATTTGCTCTCTTCTTGCTATGCAGCCGAAAAAACTGACACTTGTAGACGTTGGTCAAAATTACTCAAAACATATGTGACTGTGACACGCCCAGAAGTTATAAAAGAATACAATTTGTGCATGGGTGGAGTTGATTTAGCAGATCGAATGTTGTCTGACTGCCCATCTCGTGCTAGAACGAAGAAGTGGACCATAAGATTTATACTCCACATGCTTGATATTGCAGTCACTAACTCATGGTTTGTGTATCGTAAAGAGTGTATGGTGAAAGGTATAGCTCGCAAAAGAATAATGCAACTGCAGGAGTTCAAAATGAGTTTAGGTCACTATTTTGTCGAAGCCAATGACGTGTCAAGTGATAGCACAGAATCAGAAGGAATACTGGAACCTAAACATAAAAGAAGAAAGGTGTCTATTGTTCCGTTACCATCAGACATTAGGAGGTCTCAAAAAGCTGATCACATGCCTATTAGATCTACTGTTCAGAACAGATGTCGCCTACCAGGCTGTAAACAGAAAAGCAGGACCAAGTGCTCAAAATGTAATATTTATTTATGCAATACTTTGAATCGGAATTGCTACCAAAGTTTCCACAAGTAAACAGTTCTCTGTTTTTACTTTAGAATTTATTTTTTGTTTCTCGAAGCCAATCAGAGCAATATATTAATCTGGTTGGTTCATTAGCTGGTAAGATACCAAGAGGTCTGATTTATGTGATAAATAGATAATAAGCTAAACTTGTTTAATTATGTTACTGTTAATTAAAATAATGATTAAAACTTATTCCAAACGCATTTATTAATTTTTTTATTTACATTATGTTTAAAATTTACAGAATTTAACATAAATGATTTATATCATCATACAAGGACACAAACCCAACGACCTCATATGAGCACATAATCTAAAGTGTGGGGGGAGGGGGGTTGATTTTTTAAAATATTTTTTCAAAGAACCTTGTCTCAATATCTATCAGTAAAAACTCAAAAAACCGAACATTTCCGAAAAAAGTAGGTCTAGGTCTCAGGAGGTTAAGACGTTATGTAACTATTTAAGCGCTAATAAAAATGTGCGTTATGGCTGCGAAACGTAATTTGCTTTTAACATTAAAATAAAATGTAATAAAGTAAAATTTGATAGTTTGTGTCATCTGCAGACATCATCAACGGGGCCTGTTGGTCTCGTGGATGGTGATCTTAATTGGTAAGCCAAAGAGGTCGTGGGTTCGATTCCCACAAATATTGTGTGACGAGTACGATAATTTATTCAGCGTCTATGTATTGTTTATATATAATATGTAAGTATTTATTAATATATAAGTATATTTACCTGATTAACATCAGACTTCTGAATCGGAGTCTGATTACTCTATGTTAATCAGACCCCTGATAAACATACTTATACATACGTAAGATGTGTCAAGTTATTATCATATCAACTATGCCCGCGGTTTTGCTTGCATACAAGTACTTTTTTTCGTTCCTTAGAAACATATTTTTTTATTAAAGTTACCCTACCTGCTTCTTTGTATCCCTGGCAACGTGTATACAAAATTTAATACGACGCGACGGTACGACAACGAATAAAATGCTAACAAATATAACAAAAAATGTATCAGAAGATATGACAATTTATTAGAAGATATGAGGGTTAATACATCAAAACAAAAAAGCAATAAATGTCGTCACAGCAGAAATAAATTCGGCCATTTAAGAATAGTGTACACAATTAAAATATTTTCAGAGAATTCTTATCAGTGTTTTCTGATAACTTTTTACTATCATTATTATCAGTTGTAGAGTATTGCGATAATGCGATAATGTTTTATTGTTCTTTTGCTTTTATAGTTATATGACGTTTTCCTAAAATTTGCAACACATATTCTTTAAAATTCTTTCAGCATTTTGCAACATGTACATAAACATCGTATGTTCTAAGTTTCACGTTCTTCCTTTCTGTTTTTTTTTTCAAAAAGGCATAGTAAGGTCCGTGTGGTGACGGATTAAGAATACAGAGTGTCACCACCCCTATTCATCCCGTGGGTGTCGTAAGAGCCGACTAAGGGAAAAAACGCAGAACAACAGCACTGCAGAGAGAAGGAAAACTTGACACAAACCCTATACCAACCCGTCTGGCCAGCGTGGTATAGTAGGCCAAAACCTCCTTTCTAAGGAGAGGCTTATGTCCAGCAGTGGACTGTTAAATGCTGATGATGATGATGATGATAGTAAGGACTTTCTTCACGTATTAGTGAAAACTTGATTGTATCGCAAGAAAGATTCATAATGTAACAAATCGAAACATACTCATTGTACTACAATTAGAGTCAAATATATACGTTTTTAACTTAATTATTTCAGCACCTACTCTTCCTTCTATTACATAATAAATTAAACGTAGAAATTTTAGGCAGATATCTCGTAAACTTTAATTAACGGTTGCTGAACAGTAACTTTCTTGTGGTTTATATTTACGTACTGTGGAATAGTAATAAAAAAAGACTAAAAAATGTTTAGCACACAGAATCTTTTTAATAAATTTATCTCTCTCATCGTAGCATTCAATATACGTTCATTATTGAGTTGGCTGAATGCTCGTATTTCCCATTGTACGATTAGCTGTGTGGATTCTACAGACCAATGACAGAATGATAGTCGATGAGTGCACTTGGACATGTAATATCTCTATTTAAAAATGTTGTCGCAGTCGTAATTATATTAGTTACAGTGCTACTGTACTCTTAAAGCTAAAAAAGCTAAGCTTTAAAGTGACTAGGATCTATTTTGTATGTGTTTTCTTTTAATTCGTCACTGCGTCAATTTAACAGATAGTTTATAGTCAATCGTCTATAGCTTTGTCGCCAGTGCTATCACAAAAGCCTTAGCCAGAACGCTGTTACAAACGTACAGTCGTATGTATTCCGACACTGTAAAGCCCGCATTCGAAACCATAATCAAATTAGTGTACTTAGCTTACCAGTTAAATCTGGTGGCTTGCTGCTCCGGTTTGCAACTTGACGAGTCGATTGCTTTTATCGAGTGATTGATGCTGGTGGTTAAGCGATACATGTCTGACAATAATGCTTGGTATTATTCTGTGTTGTGGAATGCACGTGTACATTTTAAAGATTTTTTATAACAGTATGAAATAAACAATAATTTCATATTACCGTATTACCTAGTTTTTGTGTTATTACTAAGCACCACGACTAAATGATATTATTGTGTATTTATGTATAGTATATAAATATACACAATAATATCATTTTAATAGGAAAGGTACACTGGCAGAGATTTCCTATTTCCTTTCGAAAGTGTATATATTAAAGTTCATCCTGTCAATCAGCATCGTATTTAATGCGAATATAACCCACAAGTATAAAAAATACGGCAGTCTTTACCGGTAAATTTTGCCGGCTAAAACAAAAAATCCAATTGTATAATTAACACGAAGGTCAGATCCGGATATATTACACTAATCAAGGTGCTCAATAAACTCAAGTCGGAATTCCTAATTCTTTAATCTAATTAAGAAAACCACACACGTATCAGCTTTATTTTTAAGTCGTTGTTTCTATTTTTTTTATTCCTAATTCAAGGTTCAACATGATATTTGATTGCATAAATGGCTGCCGATGGTTTAAGTGCCTACCGGGTCATCTCACATGAAATAATAGTTTTCGCTGTTATTAGGTAATCTTGAGTTCTGCTCCGTCAAGATTGTAAAATATGTTATATAGGTTAATAGTTTTAATTTTAGTTAGGGGATCTTATTTAAAATCTTCCTAGATCGAAAATTTTATTTATAACAAATATTGTTTTAGTAAGTCGACTTTGGTATCAGTGGCGAAATCGAATCATACTAATAAATCTTAATAAAATCATTTTCAATGTTACTACTCTTTTTTTTCAAACATATAGACGACCTACCTTACTTATGTTTCAAAAAGACATAATGAAGTCTTTTTTCAAATAAGAAAAATCAACCGATACAAGTGCTCTGTAAGAATGCCATAACCTATGTCCAAGGAAAACAATACTTTATAGCTTAGGCAAATATTTTTTGAAAACATTAACCTGATAACATTCAAAAATTTTTCCTTAACGACCATGAACAACAGAGTACGGGTTTTCGAATAGGATTACTGTATAAATATAAATTAATGCATATTTTATAAATGCGATAAATGGTAGGTAGTTATCGTTGCAGAGGTTTTTTTTGCAAATGGCAATACGAAAGAAAGATAGCTCGTGCACGAATCACACATTAGAATGTTACCGAATAACTAAATAAATAATCATATGTGGTATATTAGAACTCCGTCATTCAGATTCACAGTTTGTATCTCGAGTATATTATAAAACTTCATATTAACTATTTAATCTCATTATTCGTATGCTTGTTGCTTTAATTAATCATTAGGGAAGCTAAAAACATTTTTTTGGCGTTCATTTAAACTTATTCCGAATTCATGAAACCTCAAACGCCAAACTGGAAAATTTATGGTTTGCAAACATTCTTTTTTTTTTACTGCCGACGGCTTACACCGTTAATCATAAAAAGTCGTAAAATTCTCTTAGGGAGTTAAATTTTTCATTCATCTGTCTGGCTTCGAACACGACCAATGCTTGTGTTGTACGTAGCTAATGTAGTTTCATTTTTCAAATAACTTTTTCAAATACATTCCACTTTGGCTTGCTAATTGCCTCTTAATATTGCGAGCGCTCGCCTGCAATGATATCTAATTTAATAGTAGGAAATGTAATTTAAACCTGCTACCATTCCATCCATATACATAGCTGTTATATCTCGCTATAATATGCATTCTTGCTGTCAATATGTGCGTCCTTATCTTGAGACTGTAATTTAAAAGTTTTATGGGTCGTCGTATTATATGAAATAGTGGGAAGTTCCATTGTTATGTAACACTATCTACTGTTATTATGTGTTGATTTATAGTTATAGCATTTTTTACCTTGTTGTCTGCGACTACTTTGTTTAAATTAAAAATGTTAGTATTAAGTATTAATATGTTTAGAAGACATTAATCTATACAAGCATTAGTTAAAAAAAATACACTTCTTATTGTGTGTGTCTAATTTTAATAGTACAAAATGCTTTCTAATGGCCCAGGGTATAACATTAACCTTCCATGCGGCTACTGAACTATTAATATCGCACTTGGGAAACTCTCTTCAATCATACAGCACTTAACTCAGGTTTTTGTATTTTTTAGTTGTGTTGTATACCTTATATCTTTGATTATTCTGGCTACTTAACTGTAACACAAAATCAACCGTCTGCTTATTTTACGGAGCAAACGCAAAGTCGCACGTGCGTGCACTAAATAACGCGTTAACCTTGTTCTCCCCTCGTCCTGCAGGAACCGGTCAATCCGGCGTACACCGGATTTTACTTAGAGGCAATAGTGGGCCCTACGAACCAAGATCGCTCCATCCCTTTCGACATTACACCTCGCGAATGTTCAGTGACAAAAAGTAAATAATGGCACTGGGTCAAACAAACTGGTTAACGTTTGCACAGCCCGTTCTGTTCACGAATCTACTTCGCTATGTACAAACTAAAAAAACACATACGGC